CCAAACCAAAAAAAAAAAAAAAAAGCTGTTAGCAATATTAATATCAGAAAATAGAGTTTAAAGCAAAAAGCGTTATGAAGAATTATTACTCAATAATAGTAGGAGTAATTCAACTAGGAAGAATCCATAATCCTGTGCCTGTATGCATCAATTAACACAGACTCAAAATATTTAAGGCAAAACTGGGTAAAAATATACAGATAAATATAGAAATTTACAATCAGGGTGGTTGAATCTAATACCTTTCTGTGAGAAACTGATAGATCAAGTGGAGAAAATTAATAAGGATTCAGAAATTTGAAAAACACATCTAACAAACAAGATCTAGTGAATTTATGTATTATCATTGCCACAATAAATGAAGAATATGTGTTATTTTCAGAAAAAGACTCAGTAAGTACCAAAGAATTAATGTCCTGTAGGTTATATTCTCTGACTACAATGCAATACATTTGGAAGGAAATGCATAAAATAACCAAGAAAATCCCTTGCATGAGTAAAAAAATTATTTTAAATATGAACATTCCATGAAAATGAAAGTTTCACGTAAATGAAAATTACAAAATATTTAAAACTGTGGGGAAAGACTCTATATCACAATTTGTGGACACAGCTAAAAATATACTTGGAGTGACATTTGCAGGTTTGGGAATATGTTGCAAAGCCAGATAGATTTAAAATGAGTTATTTAAGCATTTTAACCTTAGAAATTAAAAAAAGGAAAGAAAGGACAAATTCTAAGGAAGTATGGATATAATAAAAACAAGAACAAATTAATGGTGTATGATACCATAATGGTAAGTACACGACATCATGCATTTGGTAAAACCCATAGAACTGTACAACATAAAGAGAAAACCTTAACATAAAATCGAGTTAATAATAATAGATCAATATTGGCTCATAATTGTAACAAACGTACCACACTAATGCAACATGTTAATAACAGGAGAAACTGTGTTGGTGGGGGAGCGGGATGAGAACTATCAGTACTTTCTGCTCAATTTCTCTGTGAAGCTAAAACTGCTATAAAAAATAAAGCCTATTACTTAGGGAAAAAAAGATGGATAAGGGCAGCAAGGAAACAATAAAAAAAAAAAAAATAGCCCCTACTGTATGGGGAAAAAAGAGAACAAATTAGTGGAATGGAAATCAAGGAAACAAGAATTAAGATCAATAAAACCAAAGCTAATTTTTTGAAAAGATGAATTTAAATAGATAAATCTGTGGCAAGATTCATCAGGACAAAAAAGCATAATTAAGCAATATGTAGAAAAATAAAGCGGTCACAACACAGAGAAGCAGGATTTGAATAAAATCATAAGCAAATACCATGGAAAATTTTATCCCAGATAATATAAAACTTAGGTCAAATGGCAATTTTCTAAATAAATACAAATGGCCAAAATTTACCCCAAAAGGAAGAAAAAACCTCAAAAGAAGTGTAACTATAAAAATAATTGAATCTGGTTAAAAAAAAGAAAACTACATGTAAATGCTACATATTGATTATCTTAGATGCGACAATAGTAAAAGTATGATGGAAAGGATAAACAACAATTTCAGAATACTGTTAATGAAGTCTAACTTATACATTTTTTCTTTCATTGATTGTGTTCTTAATATTGTGTTGTAAAATTCATGGCCACACCCAAGGTCACCGAGATTTCTTTCTATCTGCCAGAGGTTTTATAGTTTTGCATTTTACATTAGGCCTATGATGTATACTGAGATAATTTTTGCGAAAGATTTAAGTCTGTGTTTTGATTCATTTTTTTTGCATATGGTCATCCAGTTGTTCTAGCACCATTTGTGGAAAAGACTATTCTTCATTGATTTGCCATTGTTCCTTTGTCAAAGATCAGTTGACTATGTTTGTGTGGGACGATTTATGGACTCTCTATTCAGCTGTATTAATCTATCTGTTTATTCTAGGGAGTGTGAAATGATGTTTCACTGTAGCTTTAGTTTGTATTTCTCTGACAACTGAGATACTGAGCATTATCATGTGCTTATTGCCTCCTTTCTTTTATGAAGCGTCTGTTCATGTCTTTTGCCCATTTAAAAAAGTAGGCTATTTGTATTCTTATTATTAATGAGTACTCTTTACAATTTACAAATTAAAATTCTAGTTTACAATTAAATTTACAATTCTAGTTTATACTTCTGGATACAATTCTTTTGTCAGATTACATGTATTGTAAATATTTTCTCCCAGTCTGTGGCTTCCATTTTATTTTCTTAACATAGCCTTTTGAAGAGTAGCAGTTTTTAATTTTGATTAAGTCCAATTTATCAAGTTTTTCTTTCATGTTGATAAGTGCTTTTTGTGTCCTTTAAAAAACATCTTTTTCTCAAACTGTCAAATATATTATTCATTGTTTTCTCTGAGAAGATTCTTAGTTTTAGCTTTTGTTGTTAGCTCTGTGATCCATCTCAAACTGATTTT